TAGCTAAAAAAATTTTTTCAACTTTTTAATTTTTGTGTTTTTTTTTTTAGCACCACTTTTTCGTGTCTAAAACTATGTGCTTCTTGGAGTAAACTTGTTGCCGTTTTTTGCTGAAGCCTACTGCAAATGATTTTGTCTGAAGAAGAAATATTTCAAGCAATGTTTCACCGAGAATATCAATCTTGGCCATATTCGCAACCGGATTTATCATGTTGTACGAATCTGGAACCTACAGATAAATCTTATTTATTTGGTACTACATTTTTTTAAAACAATATTTGTCTAATTTTCTCTACTGTTTATCTTGCTTTATAGTTTTTCATTATTTTGTACCACCAAAATTTTAGCCAAAAATCAAATTATTGAACAGTTACTTTTAATAAATAAATTGAAAATTAAAGACAAAAACTGATAGTCTAACAAAATGGTTAGTTGAATAAACGTAATATATCTGCTTTTTTTATGTGAAGGATCTTCGAATTTTTAGGTTATAATCCTTCAACCTCAGATGTGATGCCTGAGAGAGTTGAAATGGCATCAAACAGTGATGTACATAATGCCTATAATTCACAGTTTGCCTTAACTCCAAATTTTACAAATAGCTGTAAGCTTTCTTCTACTTTTACAACTTTATCTCTTATTGATGTTTTTTCTACTGTTAATTAAAATAGCAAAAAAAATTTAAGACACCTTGTTTTCTATATTTTTTACTCAAATTCTAACATAGTATTATAATTTCTGAAAGAAAAAAAGAAGATTTAATTCATTTTTTTATTTCTTTTTCAATCATCAATTCTTATTTACAGGTGGTAAACAAACACAGTGTAGTATGAGCTGTTTTTCTAAGCAAATGTATCAGCCAACAGATCCGGTGTACGGTCGTAATACTTCCACAATACCCGTTGATCAACAGTGTTGTTCACAAGTAGATCGTTGGAATGATCGATACTCTTTTTATGTGAATAATCACTATCAGTTTCCTTATCATCAACAAATGCAAAACCTTCAATTTTCTGCACTACCCTTCCAGAACAGTGCCTCTGTATCACCGTCTTCCTGTTCAGATGGTGATACTGATTTTGGCGCAACTTCAACATCCAATTTACCTAAATTGTCAGGTATGGCTTTTTCAGCCTATTTCTTATACTATCTGTCTGCCTATACTGACTGATAAGAGTTGGTCTGTTGTTCATTCTTTCTACTTTTTTTTTTTACAACTGAGCACTTTCCTGATGACGACAAGGAAATGCTGCTTTCTGGTCAATGATAAACAGATAAATGCTGACAAAAGATGATACTGAATATTATGCAAAAAATGACCGTTTAGTAGCGTCGTAATATTAATTCTGTTAACGCAGATCTGTTTGAATTTCTGTTTCTGTTTAGGTCCGATACAATTATGGCAATTTTTACTGGAGTTGTTGCTAAGTGGATCTGCTAAATCATGTATCACATGGACTGGGGATGGTTGGGAGTTCAAACTGAATGATCCAGATGAAGTTGCACGAAAATGGGGCATTCGAAAGAATAAGCCTAAAGTTAGCACTTGTACATGTACATTCTTTTTTTTTATTGCTAACAATTGATCAGTTCTTTGACCATCAAAGCAGTGTAGCTGTTACGGCTTACAAAAAAAGACTCACCTACACGTCGGTTCAGAAACATATCATTTTGAAATTTTGCTTGCACACAAAAAAAAACTTTTATTAAAGTGAGTAAAGCAAACGGTCATCTTACAAAAAAGCAAAACGTAGATGGTGCAAAAAGGGAAAACAAATTAGTGTCTTCAAGTAAACTTGAAAAAAGATGATAACTTTTGCATCGTTTTCTTTTTTTTTTTTGATAATTTTACTTCTATTCTTTCATAGATGAATTACGAAAAACTTTCAAGAGGCTTACGGTACTATTATGACAAAAATATAATCCACAAAACGCCAGGGAAACGTTATGTTTATCGTTTTGTATGCGATTTAACTTCACTGCTGCAAATGTCAGCTGAACAAATACACAACAGAATGCATATCAAAAAAGAAGGTTTTGAGTGTTTTTTACTTTTCTTCTATATAAGTTTTACTTCTTTAATTGTTTGCTGACTGAGTGAAAAGAGTAAATTGTTGTCGTCGTCATCGTCGTCGTCGTTACCATTATTGTACAGTGTTATTCAGCTTTATTATTTCTTGTTCATCTTTCTTTTTGATTTTTAAAGTTAGGGTGACGCGATTACTGTATTCTGTGCTTGATGCACAAATTTGTTGAAAAACCTTACAAAATGTTGACAATTTAAAGAACGATGGTAATACTGAGGATAATAAGAATACCAGCAACAAGACAGCTATCAATCAACTAAGCTCTTCTTGATTTATTTAGACTGAAACGGGCAACCACAGAATCATCAAACATTGTCTCCAGCAGTAACGATCAATTAACCAGCAGCGAAATGGGAATATATCACTGGATTTCTAGACTCGACTTTTGATTTTATTGGTTGTTATTGCTTTAGTAAAGTAGTAAAAAATTCTATTAATAAACAAATTATTTCGCTTTATTCAGAAAATCTTTTCTGCTTTTGTAAATGCTTTGCTTTACCTTTAACTGTACTCTTTTCTGAGCTTTAATTTTTCATTTTTTTCTCGTATAAAATATTTTGTTTTGTTCCTTCTTTCTTTTTTTTTTTTTTTTTTTTTTTTTTTTT